GGAAGTTGGAAGGGGGCGCTGGCCTCAATGGGCTGGCTGGCCTCCGCCCTGTCCATCTCCTACCTCACTCTCCAGGTGGCAACCACGACTGCTGAGAAAAGTCAGCAACTGATGAAAAACCCTACTCAGGGGTGTTGATCAGGTGTCCCAAAAGGAAGATGAAGGGACAGACAGAGCTCCGCCAGGGCTAAGGTCTCATGAGACGTGTAAGTGGAGAGTAGGTTCAGGAGGGAGATCCTGGAGAGAGTCCTTGAAGGGACAGTCCAAAGTGGGCAGGCCCCCTTAAAGGGATGATCTCAAGGGACATAAACCAGGTAAGGGGCAGAATGGAGATGAAACTGACCAGCAAGATAAATCAAGGCCCAACTCTTGCCTCTAGAAAACTCCTTACAAATGGTACAAGGGTCCCTCCCCCTTGCAAATCCTCAGCCAACAAGACAAATATGATGTGGGAGAAAACAGCTAGTGAGAGAGACTCCAGATTCTCGACGGAGCTGTGACACAGCCATCAGGAAGGGAACGTGACTGGGATGTGTGTGTAGAGGTCAGCTCTCCAGCCAACACAGAGGCGAACATTGCTCTGCTTGCTCCACACTCGTCCTCCCAAACCTGTGGGCTTTTCAGTTCTGGAGCCAGGCTGACAAAGACTCCTGATTAGTGGAAGGTACTGAGAAGAGACCCTCTTTTTTGGACTGGAATATGAGACCACACTTTGTGACAACAGTGAGGATGTGTCTACCCCAGAAAGACCGTTCCTGCCCTCAAATGTTGGAAAGTGGGGGAAAGGGATTAGAACTGTTCTAGTGACCCTTGGGCCAAATATGGACAAAGCTGGGCTCAACATGGAGGAGAACTTCTGAAACTCAGGACTGCCCCTTGGGACCCCTAACCCCCAGAAGAGGCTGGACAGATGGTGGTGGGGACTTGGAGAGGACAGACACATGACAGTCTGTGCGTCTCTAAAACCACACAGGAAGCAACCCAAGTCACCTTCTCTATTTTCAAACTAAAACTGTACAGTTATATATCAATAAAAAATTGCTGAATAAGTTACCCTATTTGTTTAGAGGGCTTCCCTGATGGCTCAGATGGTAAAGAATCTGCCTGCAAAGTGAGAGACCCGGGTTCAATTCCTGGGTCTGGAAGATTCCATTCTCAAAATGTGTAAAAACAGAACATTTTCCCACCTCAAAAAGTGGAGCATAATTGCATGTTATATGTATTTGTTGTTGTTTATTCACTAAGTTGTGACCCCTTGGGCTATAGCCCACCAGGCTCCTCTGTCCATGGGATTTCCCAGGCAAGAAACTGAAGTGGGCTGTCATCTCCTCCAGGGGATCTTACTGACTCCCAGGGATTTGCGACCTGTGCTTCCTCCACTGGCAGGCAGATTCTTTACGAGGGAAGTCTTATGTGTATTTTTCAGTTCAGTTCAGTTCAGTCAGTCATGTCTGACTCTTTGCGACCCCACAGACTGTAGCACGCCAGGTTTCCCTATCGTTCACCATCTCCCAGAGTCAGCTCAAACTCCTGTCCATTGAGCTGGTGATGCCATCCAACAATCTCATCCTGTCATCCCCTTCTCCTCCCACCTTCAATCTTTCCCAGCATCAGGGTCTTTTCAAATGAGTCAGCTCTTTGTATCACATGGCCAAAGTATTGGAGCTTTAGCATCAGTCCTTCCAATGAATATTCAGGACTGATTTCCTTTAGGATGGACTGGCTGGATCTCCGTGCAGTCCAAGGGACTCAAGAGTCTTCTCCAACACCATAGTTCAAAAGCATCAATTCTTCAGTGCTCAGCTATCTTATAGTCCAACTCTCACATCCATACATGACTACTGGAAAAACCATAGCCTTGACTAGATGGACCTTTGATGGCAAAGTAATGTTTCTACTTTTCAATATGCTGTCTAGATGGGTTATAACTTTTCTTCCAAGAAATAAGCATCTTTTAATTTCATGGCTGCAGTCACCATATGCAGTGATTTAGGAGCCCCAAAATATAAAGTCTGCCACTGTTTCCCTATCTATTTGCCATAAAGCGATGGGACCAAAGACCAAGACTTAGTTTTCTAAATGTTGAGTTTTAAGCCAACTTTTTCACTCTCCTCTTTCAGTTTCAACAAGAGGCTCTTTAGTTCATCACTTTCTGCCATAAGGGTGGTATCATCTGCATATCTGAGGTTATTGATATTTCTCCCGGCAATCTTCATTCCAGCTTGTGCTTCATCCAGCCCAGCATTTCTCAAGATGTACTCTGCATATAAGTTAAATAAGCAGGGTGACAATATACA